AAATTTAGTAGGGGAGAGGGGGGCACCTTTGAACGTGGGGCAGCTTTGAACAGCGCTCATAAAATCTTGGTTTAAAATTTTTCCGACCAGCAACCAAATTTTTGTATGTGCCAATCATGTTCTTCATCTGCGTAAACCACTTTTGCTAGCTTTTTCAGTTGTCGACAAATTGTACATGGGTGACCATGTTTTCGCAGTGCAATTGTAAACTTTTTTTCATTTGTTTGTAAGGGCGCAGGAAGAATTTTGTGAAAGTTTTCTTTCGTTAAACAATTTTTTTGCATTCCAATAATCATTTCAAACATACCTAATGTATTTTCTTTCATATATATTTATTACAAAAAAAGTTATTATAAATTTCCGTAAAATACCACAGGTGGGGCACCTTTGAACATACCCAGTAAACTCCAGTAAAAAAATTAGTTTTTAACTTTTGGCTTCGATTTATCAAAAATTTTCAAATAGGCTGATAAGATTACGAAATTAGCTGTATTTTTCACCATATAAATTTTTGTTTTTATGTAATTTTGTGTTTTAATAAATTTTGATCAGAATTTTTTAATTTTCGAATATTTTTGTATATATTTTTTAATAAATAAATGAATTTCTGATATATATAAATACAATACATATATATTTGAACATAAACACTGTAAAAAACCATGCCGTTCAAAAATACCAAGCTTTGTTCAAAGGTGCCCCCCTGGGGGGGCAGTTTTGAACACTTTGACTTCCTCCAGTAAAACAGTAATAAAATATGTATATCAAGCTTAAGGTATGTCATATGTATATTCATTTTAAAGGTTACATATGTACCTATTAGTTAAAACTTATAAGAAACCAAAAATTATAACATGAGCATTTTTATGAGGCTTGAAAGAAAAAAGTGTTCAAAGGTGCCCCCCTCTCCCCTAAATATTGCAGCTGTATATAGGATGATTACCAATTGATCATACCTAAATTTTAATTTCATAACTTCAGCAGGGGCAGCGAAGCGCCACGGGTCCCGCTAGTAAATTATAAAAAATACACACACAAACTAATTTCCTTTTTTGACAAATAGATGGTTGCTACACTTGTTTAGCACCAAAAGATGAGGACGGTTAGAACGCTAGAATACATCAACCATAACCATAGAACAATTTAATTAATTCACAATTCTTTTCTATTCTTGTCCTTCTTTTTCATTCTCTTTTCAACACTATGCATGGATATTGCTCGCACGTTGGCATATATTGAACATATCGAACTATTCAGCATGTTTGGCGTCGTATGCCACCGAAACCGTTATGCAAATATGCCATGGACGTCGTAGATGCAATCTGGCCGCAGATGCCAATACATTTGGTTCGCCATGTCAACCCAATTCTCGGATGTATCTGAAAGTTGTTTACACTTGTGGTAAGTAAATCGTGACTTGTGCCACCGAGCACCAGTTGTGACCGCTTTGCTCTACACATTATAAAGTCGTCCTTGGTATGGTCTGCCAGCTTACTGCTTAACCAACATGTACGCCAACACAAATAAAACTAAAAAGGAGTTCAACAGTATACATGTGTTTTTCCAGCTTGCAACAATACACGCTTTAATCCATTTGAAATGAAATGAAGCACACACACACACAAACTTATACGCACATGTGTGTGTGCATATTTTGTGCGTGCTCTATGAAGCAACGTTCAATACACTTGAACGCTATACCATCGAGAGTTCTATCGAATATGCTGCTGTGCAAATCGCATGGGCCCAAAAACCAAACAAAGCAATTACGCATAACCTTGAAAGGTCATACCGTCTGATGTGATGTGAACGGATAATACGATTTACGTCTGTTAGTCGAATCGAAGACAACTGTGAGGCGGCCTCAACAGCAAATGAATTAAAATTTGAATTTTAAATAAAGGTGGAGCCATTAAGAATTATACGAATTCATTTGGGGGGAAGGAGAGAATGATTGTATCGGCAGCGTATATTTTACTAATAAGAAAGCCAATTGGCAAAAAGAAATTGAAAATGGTACACCCTCCGCCAAACGATGGCGGAAACATCTCGAAATAATTGGGAAAGATCACATATATTGACACCCGTTGATATTCAAAATTTTAAAGGTCCTGGCGATGTTTTTGCACCCCAAATGGAGTTCGTAAAACACACCTTTATTTGTAGAATTCGCAATAGGCTTACCAGTATATTTCAAATCGTGGAACTGTCAAATTTTCAAATGCAAATTAATGCCAATTTTTATACCCTACACAACTATGTTGTCAGGGTATTTTAGCTTTGTGCAGCCCCAAAAGATTGTAACGCCGCGAAATATTGGTCCTAGACCCACCTTCAAGTATACCGATCGTCATATCTCGACTAGCTGAGTCGATCTCGACATGTGTGTCCGTCCGTATGTCCGTCTGTCCATTATAATTTGTAAACACGATTCAGGCCACAGTTATGGACCAATCTTCGCGAAATTTTGCATGTAGGATGGTTTCGGTTAATATTTAGGGGATGAAATGGACCAAATATAAAATTTTTGTCGGTTTTTCTGCTCGCTTCAGAGCCCGCAATTATTGCCCGAACATCGTGAAATATTACATGGAGAAGGGGATCGGGCCAAAGAAAAGGCATGCCTGTTTTGATAAAGATCGGTCAATATTTAGCACGGCAAATGGACCCTGATTTTGTATGAAAAATGACGAAATTTGTATTTTATTGCGTATATATTTACCCCTGAAGGACATAGACCCGAGAAGTTGATAGTATATCCAAGAGAAGTGATTGACCTTTAATTTGATACCAATTATATTGTCGTATGTACTCGGATGTGGGAGTTACCCGTAAATATACCCCATTTAGTAACCCATTACCACACTGGAGGGCGGAAATATAGCGCTGATCGCTTTGAACTGTTCCATGAGGTTCCAGGTACGGTCAAGGACAACGCGTATAATTTTCGTGATGACCACATACAAAATTTGGGATAAATGGAACCGAAAACATAATCTTTTGTTTTTTTCGAGTCGGCCACAAGCCGAACATCGGGACATCACGATGAAGAGAATCTGGACAAGTAATTAGAAGAGATGTACAGAATATTGATTGACTGATCTGGACTAAACGGTTAAGAGGGTGCAAATATCACGAAATATTGCCTAGGCTCGAAATAAACATCCGCAGAAATTTAGAGTTCCGTGGTAGTTGTGTGTACGCAAAATGTACATATGATTTATGAAGAATTCAAATATGCAACTACCACATATCTTAACATGACATTTATCTTAAATTATATTCAATTTTGTAAGTTTTAACGTTTTAGTGACATCTAGAGTATTTAACATGCATGTATAGCGCCTAATGTTGATGTTCATGCGTAAAATAGTGCATACGGCCATGCAGTCCAGTTGAATATTAAGGATACATAGGAATATTGCGGACAATTTCTTAATATGTAACTATGTGGACAATTTTCGAAAATCTAAGGATACAGTTGTTAAGGAATTACACCAAATTATCGCCTGATCCAGACGAGAATACCAAAGGCACTTCAATTGAAAAATGTATTGCAAATCCTTGTAATATTGAAAATTGTCAAAAATTTTGACAGTTTAACAAAAATGTTAGTTGTCGCTTCTACAGGGCGATCCTCAAATGCTTGACTAAAAACTTTGCTACGCAAAAATGTGCCTCATCGAAATATTGATTTTAGACCCCTTGTAACATAATATTTTAACTATGCCTGTATAATCTTGTAAAATGGGACATATCGGTCCACTCTTTCTACTGCTTCCACAACAAAGGGTCGACATTTCGGAAGCTCGGCAAATAATTCTAAGTTTATCCTCAAAAATAATATCACATACAAACGCTCTAATATAAAACACACTGCATTCACATTACACATGTTTTCGAAGTTTACATATGTAACATCACATCAAAGCAATGAGCTGTATTAGATTGGCACAAACTAAACATTTATTTTATTACATTCTAGAAGAAATATAGTTTGAATAAATACAAAACTGAACACAAGAATACTTGTTTACTTACATTTTAAAAGGCAACGTTCATTATCATTATAAGTTTCACAGAATTTCACATACAAAATTAATGTATATAGTCGCAGCTACTGCTACGCAGTGGGTTCTCCATCAATTACATTTCTTCGTCGACTTTACAAAATCGCATCAAGACGCAAAACTTTCAAGTGCTTCTGAAGTGACGCTTAATTGCCAACACATTTGAATGAAGTCTTTTAAAAATGAGTTTCGAAGCGAGTCATTGTTCGCGGAATGAATCGTAAATCTTTCTTCCAATGTATATCTTAGAATGCAACCAAGCAAGCAAACAAACATAGCTTTTGAACTCAGAACGTTAAGTAGACCTATCGACCGACCGACCGACCGAGCGACCACCCGCCCCTCTCCATCATCATTGCGACCAAGTGACAAATTACATTGGGAAATTTTCAACTGTATTTCTTGTATTTCATTTCAGTGCCGAAACAAGTGCTCATGGATCGCTACGAAACAGAAATTGAAGCTGATGAACCAGAAGACTTCGAGGGCGATGTTAATGATTTGTACGATGATGAATTGTTTTACAAGGAGTCGGAGGCAATTCCGAAGCTGTACAGTAACACCACTGTTCCGGCGGCACGCAACAATGCCAGCATTACTCTGAATGGAACCTACAATGCAGTGACAAGTGTTAATAGAGCCAATAATGCCACACTGGGTATGTTTGAGGGTGATATGGGCGGCGTTAATCCCGTAATGACACACAGCGCCGACATGACTCTGGAAGGTAATTAAACTCGACTACCACTGTCCCAAAATAATGAACGGGATGGGTGGTGGTGTAGAAGTACAAATACAAAACAGAACAACAGCAGTGCAGTGTGGCAAGCTGCCACCAGCCATGGCTGAACTTAACAAATGGTATTGCAATTAAGTAAAGGATTTATTGCTGTGTCCTTTCTTGCTTAGCAATTGCTCGGTATAAAATCTGAACTTTTGGGTTCCCAAAAGAAGTATTGAGCAAAAAATCCCCCATAACAAAAAGAAGCCAAAAAACAAACAAACAGAAAAGTTTGTGGTCATATTTCTTCCCATACTTTGTCTTAAGCGAGCGTGTGTATGTGTATTAGCTCCACTCATTTTATATGTTTTTTGTGTTTTGCTCTCCACTTTTTTCTATAACTGTTTACTGGGCCCATATGCAGACGACCAGGAACGATTGTTTGTTTATCTGCTGACTGCTGGTTCGTTGGGTGTCATACTCTGCATAGTTGCGATTGCGGTTAGGCTAGTGGTTCTCAAACGTCATGATAGTGCAACTGACACTCATTCAACTTCGTCGGGCAAGGGAGGTCCGGTCACTGGTGCCTGCTCCGGGGGCATTGCGGGCGTCGAAGGAGTCGCTGAGACTACAATACCGAACGGTTTCAACGACACAATTTCCGAAGTAGATGCTGACATCGATTTGCAAACGCCAATTCCGGTGCCAAGTGTGTCAAAGAACGAGGTAAGCAAGTGTCCAGCCAACCACTAGTGGTCATATTCTCTCGTATATACGGGCGGTTTTATTATTTGTGTTCCTTTATGTTGTTTGGATGAGTTTTTATTCTTTTTTGTTTGTCGTACTTTTATGAGTTTGTTGGACATAAATTTCTTCAATTCGATGTCCATTTCGTAGACTTTGCGGTGGCCATAAATTTCATGAAATTCTTTTTGTCCTTTTCTCCATTCTATTTTGGTTGTTCATGTTTAGAATTACATTAGCTATGCGCCTACTACAAATCTTTACGGTACATTGGGACCGGGCAACACTCTACTGACGCATACTAATACAACGGGCAGCATAGGTCCCGGTATGATAAGCAATACCACAATAATGTGCGGACCACGACAATCGCCGGATATTTTAGGTATATCTCCGCAATCGTATGCACCCACCAGCTGTACAAATACCGGATCAACAACAATTGGAGGTATACTGACACCGGCAATCGTAATAGGAGCTGGCGGCGCAACTGTTGTCAGTTCCGGTAGTAATGTGATAGGTAAGTATTGAGAACTTATTGAAATTGTAGTAAGGTCTTATTACTATCATATCACTTATTTGACATGCTAGTAATAGTCATTATATAATACATATTACATACATACATATTACATATTATATCATGTTTAAGGACACAAAGCCACAAACGATATTTAGTTCCACTTAACAATATATTTGAAACAAATCAAATCAAAACCATTAAATATCATATTACAAGAAAATGAATTTAAACATTCAAAATAAACGATTCATTTAGAAATTTGCGAAGGCCCTTTCAATGTGTGGAATCGTAACCAGTCTTGTGGAATCGAAGTCAATAAGCCGACGTTAAACAGTGTTGGTCAAAACATTTGCAACTGAAATTAAATATGTTGAAATATGTAGTAATCTTTTTATTTGAAGTTAAAATATAGGTAACAAAATATAACCTTCAGGGGATCTGAATTCCAATTAGACTGATAGGAATGGTAATTACTATGATATGCCCATTCGTGCCGAATGTGCTCCCATCAAATGCCAAAGCAACCCCGGGTAGGGGTGCTCCCAGTCACCCCTAATGATTGGGATTTAACACCTATGTTTCAACATACCCTCATCATGCAAATGTTGATTCTACATAATCTCTCAAATGCAAACAAAAAATCTATTTTCGTTTTGACAATATTACTCACCTTGGTGGCAATGTTTCCCAAAATATATTGAACGATTCTTCATATATGCCATGTGTTGGAACGTTTAAATCCAATGGTGGGAAATGTGTATAGGGTTTAACATGGTCGGCTCCTCCTGACTATATCCATAACTTACCAGTTTTATGTATTTGGTCGTAAAATCTAGAATCATATTTTTATGTCAATAAAATATGACAACAATTATTATTAATTGATAGCAGTAATATTTTTATAGCTCCTATTAAGGCTACTAGAATTAATAAAAACATAATTAAATAATTCCTTATCCCGTATATGTGTATAAAATATTATATTAAAATATGTAATAAGAAAATTGGGAACAACTGTAAAACAGTTGTTTACTCTGTTCACAAAAGTTTTTCTTTCCAATCATGTTGTAAACTGAAAATTTTAGAATAACTGAAACGTGTTCTATTGTCTCTAAAAAATAAGTTAGCAATGATCTGTTTAATTTATTTAACTCAGGTTGAGAATCAGTAGCAAAAATTAAATTTTTCATGAAATTAACTTTATTTCGGTTGAAGTTTAAAAATATATTTTTTTTTTTGTTTTACAGATGTATTTTAATATTAATTATTAAAGCATTAAAAAATTAGTAAGTGCTAAAAATTAAATAATATGCGCAATTGCAACATATATTAACCAATTTAGGAAAACACTAGACATTTTTTCAGTAAACACAAGTGCAGGTAATGTGGTATACCTTGAGTCTGCATGAAAAAAAGCCAACACAAGACAAAATCTCATTACTATTTGAAACATTTGTACTCTACGAGAGTCTACCACGAACCACAAGGATGAAAAACAAAGGCTATGAGTTTTAACAACTTCTCCATACAAAAATTAAATATTGTTATGTGTAGACATTATTATGTAATAAAAATTAAAGTTCTACTCAACGTAACCGTTAAAAATCTTAACAGACATAAATCTCGAGCTAATTCACATTCATTAAAAACAATAAATTATATAAGATATCAATTGGGAGTGAAAATTATACTATACCACATTAACATCATGTGGTATACCACATAACCTGCACTTTTTTAAAAATCACTTTTAATGGAATTTCAAACATTTTCTGAAATATCTCTTAAATTGTTAGAATAATATTATTTTCAAATTGATACAGGGAAAGACAACACATGTAGCATGTTAAGTGTAAAATTTCCATTTAATCGGATAAAAAATAAAAATTTAGCAATCTAAAAACAAATGGGTATACCACATTTGCATCACCTCCTATATATATATATATCGTCAGGCCTTGACATATGCAATATCCATATAATTAATTTTGACTTTTGATTGGCTGGTTTCCTTTTCGAAGGCCTACATTCCATAAATGTATCAATTTATAGATTACATTTTTAGGTTATAAAAAAAGCTTATAACCTACAAATCGGTCAGGCCGTGTCGGAGAAGTGTTTATACGGACACTATGATAAGAGAATTTTGTATTTATTAGAAGATAGATTTAGACATACCTAAAATTTGTTTTTATTCTACACGTATAGAAGAACTTGCTTACGAGAATCAATAAATTACAAAGCTACTAAATATTAACCTTAACGTCGATATTAATAACATCCATATTTATTTAAGAGATTTTCATCTAATTAGTTTATTGGTTTCAATGGGAGCTAAATCGATAGCTAAAACCTTTTCATTCCTATGGTTTATCCCAATTCAAATTGAGAACGCAACGTTTCAAGAATAATGCTGTGGCAATTAACGTATTTTCCCCGCCACCAATTTAACACGTTCACACAATACGTTTTACAATCATCCCCACCAAAGAATATTTTGCTAAATGCCAGCATAAGGACTCCTTTGCGTTCGTCCTTCCCAGTCGCATTTGATTTCAAAACAATTAAGTTAATAACTCCCGTTTAACATTCCGCAGCTGTAAAATGTGGGGCTAGTCCATTGTTGTTCCATACTTTACCCTTGAATGCTTTTCGAGAGTCAGCGGTTTCATTTTTTATTCGCATTATTTATGCCATGCAATGTGTATTTGTGTAATCAACACATTTCCTTTTAATTATTTTCGTTTGTTCTTTTGTTTCTCTTGAAGGTACCGTAGTTCCCATAACTTCGCTGGCACAATATACCACTGCCCCAACATTCCGTTCAGGTTATATCCTGAACAGCGACAATGTGCTACAGAGGCCAGGCAACGCTGCCACACCACCAACGTCGTTAGCAGGTGGTGAAACAACATACCTAGGACATCAGTATCAGCAACAACAGCAGCAGCAGCCTCCATTGTCAATGCAAACAACCAGCGGTGGTGTTCTAACGCCAGCAACAGCCACACTGAGACGAATGAAACAATCAACGCCCGCGGCTGCGGCCACAGCCTCACCCCCACATGTTCTCCAACAATCAATGGTCTCTGGATCAATATCAACGTACGATGGCATACCACCCCGCACCCTCTCGACCGGAATGGCAGTGAATTCACAATTCTATTACGAATGACAGAACGACCTAGAACAACCAAATGAAAACAACAGTTCCGAGTACACCAACACCAGTGGTACCAACGCAGCTGGGGCGCAGACATCATCTACAGCCGCGGTGAACACCAGCGCCACCCCGACCACCAAAAGTAAAACGTCGGAGCCATTGTAAAAGACGGTGATATTGTGGAAACCATGCATAGCCATAAAATGTCGATTGAATTGATAATAGAGTGGCACGGACACGACGGACAAACCTATCTAAAATTCTTATGAAACGGGACTGTTGTTTTAGTTAATGGAGCAGTGGAGTGGACGGCAAGCATGAAGAGACAATATTTTGAAATTGCAAAGTAAACAAGAAGTAAGCCAGTCGAACGCACACCGACGAGTCCTGTTTTCATCGTCTTCCACACAAATCAGCTGTAAAAGCAGTCGAAACCGATGCAGAACAGCGGCCACAATGCCAATTGAAAAACATCCTTTGCTGGAGTTGGCTGCCTCTGCGATGTTAACAATTTGAGAGTGAACATATTGCTTTCCAATATGGACGAGCTTCCGGTAATGTAAATAGATATCAAATCAACTACTTCTAAGTAAATACAACCAATACAGACATAGAGCGGGAGAGAGACCAACACAAAGGCATAAACACAAACACAAGAATAGACAATGATGTGAAAACACTCACATGTACATACATGAATAAGTATGTATGTATGTAGGTGGTATAATGTAGTTCTGGGTAATAAGCAGATAACATCATGAATAAAAGGAAATAATTCAGAACGAAATACTTCAGTTCCAAATTGATGAGAAATGAATGCAGGAATTCTGTCTGGGTAGAATAGCATTTCCATTAATTCAAGGTATTTTACATTTTTGGGTATTGAATTTATGATTTTTTTTCTTTTCTAAAAATATGGAGGCCTTACATTTTTGTCGAAATGTTTTCGCAATTGTTATTAAAAAAATGAAATTTAATTTCCATGTAATTCTTAGAATATTTTTTTTAAAAGAATAGATCTATATATTTGCTACTGAAAGTTAATAACAGAAAAAGCCTATCAGTGAAAGTGACATTCTCCGCATTTTCCCAACCTGTTGTCTCACTGGAACAGATACCTCAAAGAGCGAATGTTTGAGCGAACGTACTGGAGCGAGAATTACGAACAAAAATGGAAAATGGATAATTTGTAGTCGGTGTTATTTCGTGTACTTAAAGATGTTGATAAAATTGACAGCGACAGTTCTGTACCTATTGTAAGGGTTCGTTTACAAATTACATTTAAAGTGGTCCCGATTGGAAGATTCTTTACAAAATGAGGTATATAAAGAGCTTTAAGAAAAATCTGCACTAAAAAGATGTGAACTAATATTTCTATGAAAAATCCGAATTTAAATTAAACGAAGGTATATTATAAATTTAACTTATTTTGAATTGAATTAGAGTCTGTAAGCCAAAATTGGGCAATTTTGTCGGAGACTAATAGGAATTATTTGTTTAAAAAAATGCCTTGTATATTATTATAAATTAAATTAACGGCGAATCAAAAGTGGGAATTTGGAGAATTTTATTTTGTTCCCTAAGACATATTTTACTTTACAAAATTGACTTGTAGAAAAACATTAATTTGTAGATTGGTGTAAAATATTTCCACTTACTAAGACTTCAATGCAGCTATCATTGATGTAAAACATTACATGTTCCGCACCATCTGGCCTATATGAAAATACATTTACTACAATATCAAGAAGTTCTCGTTTTGAAAACATATTGAAGAGTGTATCTGCAAATGTCGCAACCCATTCGAATGGGAATTGCTTGACGTGAAATACATTTTGTTAAACCATCATAATCAATATGTATTTATCTTCAACGAAAGTGTCATATTTAAATCCTTGTACTTGATTTTATTAAACACTACTTACAGTCGCCTTGGGGCATTTCCTTGCAAATGTATTTGTGGAAATGCGTAATTCACATTTAATGGTTTATTAACATAATTGATATTTGTTCGTAATAGCAGTTTGCTCACAAATACCCCCGAGAAATGATAGAGTTAATCAAACAATTATTACCACAACACCATTTAAAACAGCAATATATTTAAAGTTGTTGACTGGTGAAGGCGTGTGTGAGTGTAACGAACATTCTCCATGTCATCTGCATTCTGTATCGGGTGATGTTGTAAATAATTAATTACAGACACTTTCAAAATACATGGACATTTTATTCATGGCAGTGTCTGTAACGGAACGAAATTTGTCAATACTATTATCTAAATTAGTCAATATTTAATTATTAAATTGTTGATTACATATCGAACTAATTAAATTCCATTCAAAGACTTTCGTGGTTACACAATATACAAAATATGCACACTATACGACACCATGTGGTGTTGTATGAGATTGGGTTTATAAATTATGTAATGCATTTCGGAAATATTCGTATACTTTGCAATTTAATTCTGTAATACATAAACATATTTATATAAGCTGAAACACATACCCGAAAGCCACCGCGTGTGTAACATTTCAATGCACCATTTTGTTGACAATATTATACACAAAGCTACAACAATTTTATTTTTTTTTTAATCGAATAATAATAGACGAACCTACTTCGAAATATTACCCCAATAAATATTGACCTACTTCAGGTCACATCTCTATGCCATTCCATAGTTAAAAATGTTCGTAATAATAATAATAATAAATTCTAGTGATATATTGTACATGTGATCTCTTATTTATAGCTGACAAAAGTTTGATATTATTAATAATTATCTTTCATGAAGTAATTCGTGTATCTAGCACAGATAAATCAATTTAAAAATAATGTCCAACTAAAAGGGAAATATGGAGAGGCTTTAGGCTTAGCCATTTTCAGTAGGACGATGTGGTACATAATGAGAATGGTACCTTATACAAATACCACGAAAATCTAACTTTTTGCGGTTCCATATTCAGAGCCTGTGTAATATTTCGCGATATATGCACCCTATTGACCAATTATATGTTAACATCTCCACTTTCTAAAAAATAAAGTTTTCGGTTCATTGCACCCTCAAATATAATATCTACATAACCGTAAATTGTAGACGTCGTCTTTGACCATAACCGTAATACTAAAATATAATAACACATAGACACATTTAAATAACTCCCTAGTTCGCAATATAATTGGTATCAATTTATAATTTGTATTAACAGCTCCTCTTGAATATACTGTCATCATCATCACAACATAGTTGTGTAGGGTATAATTATTGACAATTTTGTTGAAAAACGTACACAAACTCCTCAAAATAACGAAATTTGGGAGGTGTCGTTATATAGGGGCTACAATGTAAGAATAGGAAACAGAAAAAAATGTGTTATTGGTTGAAAAAATTGTCATCGAACACCAAAATACCGAATATTAGTTACCAAAAATACGAAATTGTAGCCAGTTTTGACGAACAATTCTCTTGAAAATCCCAAAATATAAATATAATAAAATCTAAACCAAAGTATTAACTTTCAAAAAAAAATACCTAAAATCGTGTCCTGTGCAAACTTTTATTTTGAAATTATAGCGATTGAACCATTGACCATAGAATATACATTATAGCATCAAAAGCACGGAATATAAATTTATATATGGGTGCTATATCTGAATCTGAACTCAACACTTGTTTTTCTAATACCAACACTTGTGGCAATTGGTGACACGTAGTGTCTTTCGTAAATCATTTACAAGAAACCGGAGCATTTAAAAGAAATAGCAGCTATCTATAAATTTGAACGGATTGTAATTAAAATTGGCATGTGTTAGTGTCTTTGCTGCACCATTCATTTTCAATAGCCCATGGACCTAAGTAAATATGATTTTTACGTTTTTTTTTTAATTTCACAGAGTACAATGTCTCGTCAGGTATAATTTGAATTAAAGAAACTAGTTTTAAATTGTGGAAAAAACATTCCCATTTTAGATGTTTTCATTTCCTGTAGGACGACTATATATTAATTGAAATGAAATAATTTCCTTTCCAGGCGGACTTATATATTTGCGCAATAATTTTGCCATAAGTCAATCTGTTCGATTGCGAACGAACATAGTCTAATAAACATGTATACTTTGTACGATCTAAAACGAGATATGAACAGAATTCAATTCGAATCCACGGTTTTGTTAGCTCAGTTCAATTATATTCCTAGTTCACCATTATTTTTTAGAAAAGTTAGGTATACAGATTATGTTACAATAGTATGTACATATTACATAATTATTCAGTGGAGAACCCTTGCAGTGTAAAACTATACGTGGTCATTTGTTTCGTTTCTACATACATATAAATATAATTATATTATGCATATCAAGTCTACTATGAATTTAATTGATTTAGCGTTTTTTTATTAACCTGATTTTTGGAAAATGTAAATTAATTCTACAAAACTCGGTAGCATTAAATAGTAACGCAAAAAATGAAAAAAAAAAAAACTTTCAATAATGCCCATGGAAATTGATTTTTGCAGTAAGATTAGTAGACAATTACGTGCCTAACTTGTGCAGTGACATTTTATCGTTATCTCAATGACTATGACCATCGATGCTCGCGGTTGACGTACTTGATTGCAAAACCACATAACTGTAAATTAATTTAATCCATGTATTTGCAGAAACCTGTTGTAGTTGTTAATATTTATGCTTATGCAAGGCATCATAACAAAAAATAAATCCAAAAAATAGTGTAATTTATATAAGACTTTGTTTAAGGGTTGAAACTCGACGAAATCGAACATGGGATTTTATTTGAAAGTTCTCTTTATTACATCCTTGTAATAGTATGACACATGATAGATTTCAATTGTCACGTAGTTATTTTTGACAAGCCGAATTGAATTTATATCGGAATTTTCGGTATAACCCCAAGGAAACATAGCATTTTCAACATTTGAATTTAGCATTTTCTAACGGTTTCCCATGAATATGTGGTTCTAATTGTATAGAAAGTATGACTGTGCCTTCGTGAATTATTACAAAAAATGTTACTCTCTTCTTAAATCAAGAACATAAGG